GGGGAGTGGGGGCTGGTGGGTTAGAGCAGGGGGGGCTGGGAGCCAGGACTCCTGGGTTCTCTCCCCGGCTCTGGGAGGGGAGTGGGGGCTGGGAGGCTGGAGGAGGCAGCAGGACTCCTGGGTCCTATCCCTGCATCTGCCGCTCCTGCTCAGGTAACCGCATCGTGATGGGCAAGAACCACGTTTTCCGCTTCAACCACCCGGAGCAGACGCGGCTGGAGCGCGAGCGCAGCGCCCCCGCCGAGCCCCCGCCCGAGCCCGTCGACTGGAACTTCGCCCAGCGCGAGCTGCTGGAGGAGCAGGGCATCGACATCAAGCTGGAGATGGAGAAGAGGTGGGGGCCCGGGCCCCCCGGCTCCCAGAGCGCAGGAGATACCCCAGGGCATTCTGGGACTGGGGCGTTCCCCTGCCCTGCCCTGTCCGGGGCATTCTGGGAGTGGGGTGTCCCCCTACCCCAGGGGTTTGTGGGATAGGAGGGGTTCTGGGGCAGGGGGGTTGTCCCCAGGTGGGGGTCGAGGGGGCTGCCCCAGTCTCACGGCATCTCCCACTCCCTAGGCTCCAGGACCTGGAGAACCAGTACCGGCGGGAGAAGGAGGAGGCCGACCTGCTCCTGGAGCAGCAGCGGCTGGTAAGGGGATGTGCGCGGGGGGACAGAGCTGGGGTGCTAGGGGTGATAGGGCTGGACAGGCTGGGGGGGGTCTCTCACTGCCCCCCCAGCCCGTCCAGCACGTGGGCCGGTCAGGGGCTGAGACTAGAAGATGGGGTTTGGAGCCGGGATTGGGGTGCCGGCCAATGGTGCTAATCCAGTTCTCCGTTCCCCCCGGACTCAGACAGCAGGGACAACTCGGATAAGTGCGAGGGGTACTCGTGCGAGGAGGGGCTGGGAGGGTGGTGCAGGGCTAGGGAGGGGGCTGCGGAGCTGGGAGGGGGGTGCCAGCCGGCGGTACTGACCCTGTATCTCTCCCCCCCTCCCCCACCCCGGCAGAACGCGGACTCGGACAGCGGGGCCGACTGGGCCAAGCGCTCGTGCGAGGGGCCCTGGTGCGAGAAGGGGCTGGGAGGGTGATGCAGGGCTGGGAAGGGGGTTGCGGAGCCGGGAGGGGGGTGCCGGCCAGCGGTACTGACCCTGTATCTTTTCACCCCCCACCCCGGCAGTACGCGGACTCGGACAGCGGGGACGACTCGGACAAGCGCTCGTGCGAGGAGAGCTGGAGGCTCATCTCCTCGCTGCGGGAGAAGCTGCCGGCCACCAAGGTGCAGAGCATCGTGAAGCGCTGCGGCCTGCCCAGCAGCGGCAAGCGGCGGGAGCCGCTCCGGGTCTACCAGATCCCCCAGCGCCGGCGCCTGGGCAAGGACCCACGCTGGGTCACCCTGGCCGACCTGAAGATGCAGGCGGTGAAGGAGATCTGCTACGAGGTGGCGCTGAACGATTTCCGGCACGCCCGGCAGGAGATCGAGGCCATGAGCATCGTGAAGATGAAGGAGCTGTGCCGGCTCTACGGGAAGCGCGACCCCAACGAGAAGGAGAGCTGGAGGGCCGTGGCCAGGGACGTCTGGGACACCGTGGGGGTGGGCGAGGAGCGGGGCGAGGGGGAGCCGGGGGGCCCCAGCCCGGCCGTGGACGACCTGCGGGCCCACATCGACAAGCTGACCGACATCCTGCAGGAGGTCAAGATCCAGAACAACATGAAGGACGAGGAGATCCGGGCCCTGCGCCACCGCGTGGTCAAGATGGAGAGAGTCATCCCCATCTCCCAGGTGAACGGAGAACCCAGGCATCCGGGCTCCCGT